TTATTACTTGTATTTTATGTTTACATATATTAAATTTTACATATATCACATGTTTCCTTCTTTTTTGCATATTTAAATTCTCTTCGATTATTACTTACCACCTTTCTATAAAATGTTTCAATAAATATGATTGCTAATTTTAGTATTTTATATACGTACCTGTTTGTATATATTACTATGGATTGTACAGGTGGAGATTAGGATTATATATTTATTATATTATTTATTGTAAATAATTGTTAGATAGTTTTTTTTTTTATCCATAACTTAATTAATTAATTATCGTTATAAAATAAAAAATAATAGTCGTGAAAATAATTATCAATTGAATAATCTTACTATTTACTGTTTGAACAAATCTTTTTTGGTTTAGATCACATGCTGTATCATTAAAAGCGTTCAGAGACATGGTGATGTCAATGATCTGATCTGGGAGGGGAAAGAATCATATATATTTACTAACTAGCTACATGTATACTTATCAGTTAATTCATCGTCATCTTCAACATTTAAAGCGTTTTTAATCTATAATTTGAGTTGTTAGATAACAACAACAACAATAATAAAGTTGTGTATAAACAATTTATTATAAAAAACAAATTATATAAGAATTTACCCAGACAAACCTTTTTAAAAAGATTTTATTCTTATTCAATTCTTAGAGATGAGCCATTAGATGTTTTTATCTATATTTTAAAATGTAATTTAAATTATATAAATGTTGATAAGGTATATACTAATGTCTAGCAAAATTTGGTTCTCAACATAATATTTTAAACGTTGATTCATGTCGCAACTAGTTTTTAATCTTTTCAGTAATGTAGCAAAATTTCTCAATTTATTGAAGAGTCTGAGAATTTTTTCTTTATAACGCCGGTTAGCCCATTTTTATTAGATCCTAATTCTTTTGGTTCCTTAATATTTACGTTATATTCACTGCTAAAACTTGTTTTTTTTCCATCCGTATTGCTTAAACAAATTATTCTCTAAAAATATGTCAATACATTATATATATAACTTTTTTGGGTTCTACTTCGCTCTTTTGCATAATTACTAAATACACCATATAATAAGAATTTTTTCTTGATCCACAGGGTTTGAAATATTAAGTTTCTGATAACTCTTGCGTTTGACCATCTTTAAGCATCATACTTCCACCTATTGTGTATGTAATAAGAACCATAGCAAGGCTGACAAGATTTATGAACATTGACTTTTGCTGAGTCATAAAATAAAATCTTTTCACCAACTTTGGATAAAGCCAAAATAATCAATAAAGTTCATAATACCCTTTCTTTTTGAGGCCCTAGATTTATGATGAGAAATTATTTTTCAATTATGGAAAAGAATGCAAAATTCACTATCATTTTAATCCTTTTCTTCGTTATCTTCAATGGTTACAACCACATTTTCGGTAAAGATATGAAACTTAAACTTTTCAGTATAACTCTGAAGAGATAGTTCGAGTCTTTTAATTATAGATTCTTTAGAATTCACTTTTTCGAAATTTTAATATGTAATTTTTTTTGGTATATATTTGATATTGTTTGTAATATATAATCTTATTTATCGCCATCAGTCACTGGACATTGCAGATCAAATTAAAAATTCGAATATAGTTGGCTTGGTCTAAAGACCTCCTAAATTTTGTGCAAATTTTAAAAGTATAGAAGTAATTTTCTGCCCAACCTTATAAAAAAATAGCTCTATTAGTTGATGGAATAGGTCTTTAATTTAATGTAATAAAGAGATTTTATCAAAAAATTATTTGTTGTAGAGTTCTATTCTTTTTTAAAACATGTATTTTACTATGCTCATGAAGAATTTGAGCGCTAGGATCATTGCTAAATTTAGACTAGTTTTAGTTCATCGTTACTAAATTTAGACTAATACTCGACAATCATGTCTAAATTTGGCAGGAAGGAAAATAAATTTTTTAACCAAAATCACGTGAAGCCTTTTTGAAAAGTTTTTATTGCATTTTTGAACGAATCATGAAATCGCAATTTTTGAAATTTGAGCGTGTGGCGCAGCAATAGGAGGTCTTTAGACCGAGCCAACCATACTAATTATATAGCATTGATATTGATATATTGAAGAAATGTATTGAAACAAAAAATGTTGAAGCATTGGAATCGGGAAAATACAGTTCAATTGACAACAATGATGGAAAAGGAGTATTTAAATTGATAAGGACAAATTAGAAAAGGAAGACCAGATAGTTAGTACAAGAAGACATGAAAGACTACTGGAAGCAGCCGATACAAATTTATCTTCTGAAGCAATTACAAGGCGAAATAAGTGTAGATTGTGTAATAATATTGGTCATAGTCGTAATACTTGTCACTTTAATAGTAACAGTATAATAAGAGGAAAATCATGGTAATTGAATTGGGTTGGAGGGGGGGGGGTAAGGTGCGGAATGAATTAGTATATAATTTAAATATGTGCATATTAATATTCTTTATTAAAAAATAAATACACCATGTGTAAAAAATTTATTTGCTAGTGATTTTTAAGTTTTATGCACCCTACGTTTTTGTGCGGGTGCGCAGAAAACAAAGACCCACCCACACATAATAATAATAAATCAAATTTTACAATCTCTTTACATCACCATCCACCCCACCGCATATATATCAAATTATTATTTATTTAACCAATAAGGTCTGAGATAAATAAATGAATATTACTATCCTGATCTGATCTAGTTAATGAAAAATGTAACAATTCAGCTTTCTAAATTGATGATTTTTGTTGCTTTGCTTCTGCTTATTTAATAGTCTTTTTTCCCTTTATGAAATTGGTATGATACGGCGATGTAAAAACAACTATCCTTTTATTATTATCATCTTTGGAAAACGAAAAGTTTTATTATTATTATTTTCAAATCATTTTGAGCCAGGACAAGCAAAAATGGCTCACTAATGATGCTTCAGACGGGTTTTTTGTTGTAATGAACATGACTTTGCTAGTGAACCAGAAGGGCAATGTTAGGGTTTATTTACAACAACCAAAAACGCCAATCTATTTTTACACCATTACTAGTGGGCCAGAAGGGTGGCGATAAGCAGTATGACAGTTAATCATTATGAACTTGACACATAAGGCGAAAGATATTTACAGAAAATTACTCACGCTTTTTAAGACTTTAGTGTGTAACAAAAAAAAGACTGGTCCAAAAGGATTGATGGTTCAAGTCATCTATAAATGTCACGAAATTTAAACTTTTAGAAGATCTTTCTATATAATAGAAAGGTTTTCCGTATCACAAAAAATTTTAAGCCGATCATCAACATTTAGGAAATCACAAGAGAAGATCATTCCGAAATTTTACAATTTACATAGACATACATAGTAATATATAGGTAAACGATAAGTCGGACACAAATGATTGGACACGGTGTCCAACTTATCAAGAGATCCGACTTATCAAAATATGCAATTTTACCAAAAAAAATAAAATAAAATAAAATAAGAAAATCATTGTTTATTATTTATTTATAATAATAATTGAAAAAATAATTTAATAAAACAGATAGAAGATAAAAATCTCTACTCTTTATCTAAATAAATATTCATACTGGTTTGTACTAAAGAATTATTTTGTTTTCTATTAAAATTCCATTTTAAATCTTTTAATCCTGAAACAAATGAACTTTTACTTGTATATCATTATTCTGTTGCAAGTAATTATATAGACTTTGAATGCTTTCCAAAGCGATTTTATTAGGTATTTGTGGGCCAATATCATCATCATCTTCTTCTTCTTCAGGTGCTTCTTGAACTGCTGCAATAATTTCGTCATCATCAAGCATTTCAGTTCCTAAATCAGAACCAATATCAATGTAACTTTTTGCTGTAATAATATTATCATCATTATTAACATTGATTTGATCAATAAGTAATTGCACTTCATCATCTATTTCAGGATCAACTTCCATAGTAATAGGACGGTCAACTTCATTATCAGGTAGAATACCTGTTTTTTCCCAACATCTATAAATCACATCATCTGCTACATTTTCCCACGCTTTTGCACTCCAATCAATTGCATTCAAAATGTTTAAAATTGGAATTTGGATTTCACATTCTTGTGAATTATCAAAAAAAAGTCAATTATGTAAATGTAATAAAAAATAAAAATTCAATTTAAAAAAAATAATTACTTTAAATGATGAATTATGCCTTGATCAATTGGTTGGATATGAGCTGTTGTATTTGGTGGAAGAAAATGTAATTTACTATTGCTTAACACTTCACCTTCTTCCAAATGGTGCGAAGAAACATTATCAACTAATAATAGAATATTTCTATGTTGGCTGCGCATCTGTTGATTAACTTGTTTAATCCATTACTGGAAGATTGAATGTTGCATCCATGATGAATTATTCCAATAGTACCACACTGGAAGTGTTTTCTTATCAATATTACG